ACCGTGATGATAGAAAGTCAACACCTAGAAAATAATTCAAGAGATACAGCAACCATAAACCATTGATTAACAAATAAACTAATCTGCTCACTTTGTTTATAACTTGTAAATTAAAAGGAATATTACCTCTTTGGGGTGGAACCCTCTGGGGGCCCCGCCCTAATGGTACAGGAACTACTAATCTCTGAAGTCGCACAGTTGGATTGGTAGAAATAACTTGGCCTTGCACCATTGGACGTGCTGTACCTTGGGTAAGCGTTGAAGTACCAGATGAATCTGAAATTCAAATCTTTATCAGAACAAAGTTTGTATATGCATAAAAATAAACAGGGCATAAAGAAGCCCTGATAAATTCAATTTACCCTTATTATGAACTCTTGCCACTACAGCAGAGGTATTGGGTCCTACAGGAGAACTGGGGGTCCTGGCTGTTGGTGCAACTATGACAGGACTCTGACTGGAGCTTGCTAACAGGTTGCTCGGTTGTTGGACAGGAGCCGGCTCTGCGCAAAGGGTCCCAATTTTTTGGTTAACAGTAGCTATTAAATCAGAAGCTTCAATCATCAAATCCAAAGCACTCTGGAATTTCTGAAGGCCTGCTCTAGCTGCACCAGCGATGGCCCTGAGCTCTGCCTGAGGAGAAATTACAAAATAAAAAGACATCGCAATAAATCCAGTACTTATGGCAGTGACAGTTAAGGCGGAAAAGGACTTACTTGCTGACCAACAATTTGCTCTCGCATTGATGTGTTCAGTTGAATAATTTTTGAATTTTTATTTCTCTCGTTTGCAAGACTAGTAGCTAGTTTGGCATTGTTCATACGTAGTTCTACAACATCTGGAAATTAGGAGAAGTATTAATGAGTGAATATTCACTTATTTTTTCAAGTATTTCAAATCCTAACTTACATTGATTACTTGATCTCCTACAATTTCCAGTTCCCAAACTTCTATCTCGTTTGATAGTATTTGCCATGACAGTTGTTTTCTTAGATGTTCCAGGAGAACTTCTACGAGATTTCATAGAGGAGTCAGAATCCTGTTTTATTTAGCAGAAACAAGGGAAATAAAATGTGATCAAAACAATGTTTTCAAATCTTCTCTAAAAACTGGCTTGTCTGTTGAACCTTGTAGCAAAAGAATGTGGTTGTCGTAGAAGTAGCTTTAAAAAAGGAATCATAGATATCAGGATTATGACAGTGAAGAGAAGAGGTCCCTCTCCAGAAGGCACAAAAGTTGCCATAGATAGGTTTTTCTTTCAGATTGTTTGAGGGATGTCCTAAGCTCGAGTACAATAAAAATTAGAAATTAAGCAAATTAAACGACAATTAGATATTTATGCCTTGAAAACGTGTTAAAGATAGTGTGGATTAAAGGTAAGCGTTGTAATAGAACCAACAAAAATACAGACGAAAAAGTGAAACCAGAAAATGGTTAGGGTGGGCAGGAAGCTTCCTTTTTATACAGAAGTACACAGCGCAAGGCATCACTAAACTGCATTAAATGCAAAACTTACTAAGCTAAACTTGAAAGTCAAATAAAACCGAATACAACACTCTTACTCGTATCAACTCTCAAGAAAGATAGTGAAATCGTGTTTACAAATCCAGAACTCGCCTCGATTCCCGATCAATCACCACCGACCTTCCGACCACCACTATCGTAGTCCGAGTGGCCGTGATTAACGGCGGCGCGGAAACTTATAGAGATCCTCCAATGCTGACGTCACAAGGCCCACTGAGTGGCGAACCGCGCGAGATTCCAAATGCGGGCCCGGGGAAAATGTTGAAAAGGTCGATATAAAATGTTAGATCGTAGGGCCCAGTTAAAGAGAGATATGGCGACAACATTTTCTGAATCATTAAATTGGATCCATATGCTTTTTTAACTGGTTTCAGCAAAGAATGGTCTAACCTAACCTCTGACACCGTGTGTCATTGTTCGGTACTCAGTGTCAACTTTTTATATTTTTGGGGAGTGTCATGCTCAAAAATCGTTGGGAGCTGTGAGTTTTGTCGTCAGTGATAAAGTGAGCAGTCTTTGGGTCCATAAAGTAGGCGAAATGTGCCTAATTAGGCCCAAC